AGCCTCAAGCCTTAAGATGGGAGATGGATCTTCTTAGTCTTTTGAAAAGCTATGAAGTCTTGACTCATCCTCCTCTAATTCAGGACTGTCAAACTCACTTCATCACAGGAACGTCATGTGACATTTTGGAACTTTCCTCCCTTCGCTAAACCGGGTGGGGGCGGGCGGGGCTACCACATGACGCACCCAGCCCGTGGGGGCCGCAAGTTCGTCAGCCCTGCTCTAGTTGCTGGGCTAGCATTGGGTTTGAACCCAGCACATCTGTATTTTGAGATTGGATTATTATGGCTCCTTGGCAAGAGTGTCATGGTTGTTTTCTTCTAAAATGGAGGAACCTTTTAAATATATATATTTGTAGTTATTTTTTAGTTATTAGCTAGCCAGGGTCAATGTGTATGAGATGGTTGGCATATAAATCTTATGAAGCTTGGATATGTACCTTTTTGCAGTCAGCAAGTTACTAACTTAATGTGGTGCCATAAAAACCACTTCTAAAAGCTTTTAGAAACGAGGCTGACGTGGAAGATTATCAGAAGCTTTGCTGAAATTGAGAGTTTATATTCACAGCATTTATTTTGTCCAGTAAAGAAATTACCTTGTCAAAGAAGGAAGTAAGGTCTGTCTCGTGCTATATATTTTTGATGAAGCTATGCTGACTTTCAACCATCACAAAATTGGCTTCAAGACAGTTATAAGTGGCCTGTTTTATTATCTGCTCTAACGTCTTTCCAGGTATTGATGGTGTGGCTCATGGGTCTATAATTCGTGGGATTGTTTCTCTTGAGTACACTTCAAAAAATATGTCCCCTTGCATCTCTCCAGTTTTCCAGAGCTACTCAAAGATTGTTGAAAGAGGTCTTTAGGGTTGGATCACTTCTTACTCCAAATGGACAAATCTTAACAGATGATCACAAGAAAACAGATGTTTTTACATTCAAAGGATATAAAATCTTGAGTAGCATACACTGGGATTAAATATAATAAAGGAAGATACAATTCAGTAAGGATGTAAAGGGTCTTTTAGTTAATTTAAATGTCTTTAAATCCCCTGGTCCTTCTGAGAAATACCCCAGAACATTAAAGAAATGAGACAGAGATGACTTGTGAAAACACTTTAAGACCAGGATTAGATTAGATTGATTAGATTGTTTATTTGTATGCCACCCTTTTCCCTGGGGGGACTCAGGGCGGCTCACAAGATGTGAGAAAGAAGCTAATCCTGACTTGTCCCTAAATCATTAAGAGTTTAAGATGGAAGGAGAGGAAAAACTCAGACTTTCAAGATTCAGTTCAAATTGATCAATGTCAATAAAATATTCACCAGGTCTACCTTGAGGGGATAACAACATCTCCTAAATTTTCTTCATCATTGATATTGTTTAAAATTGCACTATTCTTAACTTCATTTTATTTAAGAAATCCCAGCTGGTTGCAGCAGTATCTTTGGCTTTAAGTATTTCTCCCTATGACGTTTTCTTTAATATTTATTTTAGTTTACTCAAATTGTTCTTCTGTTATCCATGGTTTGTTTTTTACTAGGCCTTTTGTTTTTTTTAAAAAAACACCTAACAACACGGTTACTTGCACCCAGAGTTCTTTCAGATTTAATATCTTCAGTCAGCTCCTCTTATTAGTAAAAACCAAATCCAAGGTAGCAGGTGCTCTGTTTACTTAAGTCCTTTGAAGGAGAAAATTATTACCAATACAATCAAATATTCTGAGTTGTTTATGGCAAAATTAGTCTCCCAATAAATGACAGGATAGTTGAAGTATCCGCATCACAGCTGTTTTGGGTTTTTATTTTTGAGGATTCATTTATCTGTTTTAATAATGTCTTCTGATTTGTTTGGTGGTCTGTAGTAAATGATTAACAAGTGAGTTCTTCTGTTACATCACTCTTCCATCAGATCAATGGAGTTCTGCTCCTAGAGGTTAATATATGAATCTGTGACAACTTTTCTTGTGTTGCCCTTTGCTTTGAAGCTAGCTGTATCCATTAAAAATGTATTCCACTGCTGGAACTCATCCCACTATGTTTCTATAATCCCTATTTTGTTATACTTGCCTTGATACCATGATCCATCTCATTTTGCCTGTTACCCATTTTGTGTGCAATATATAGAATCATTTAAGGTAAAGGGTTAGACTTCCCGTGTTCAGTCCCCTTTTTCTTTAATGCCTTTATTTCCTTTATTTCTTGGTTAAACTAGTAATTTCTAGAACCTTTGCCTTGCTCCATTATTCAGTCCATTATTTGCCAATTCACTACTTGCCAATTGTCCTGAAACTCCTACCCATTGTATTGTAGTTTAAATTAATAAAAAGCATTTGGATGTCTGTAAGGGCCCTAAATATAGCTCTGAGTAAAGAGCTGGTACAGAACACAGTGAGAAGGCTGGTAAATGTGCTTTCTATAATTCTTCATTGAAACAACCAGAGACAGCTCATGTACCAAGTTCAAATGATAATAAATAATTTTAAAGTTTTTTGTAGTGTAGAATTAAGCATTTGTAAATCAGTTTAAATCTGGTTTATGTCTGTGTTGTTAAGATGTGATAGATACAGGGGGTCGACAGGAAGTTCTCCAGCTGGACAAATGTGGGGGCTCTTAAGAGTCTCGCACAGTGGTGGGTTTCAAAAAAAAATTTGGAACCTCTTCTGTAGGTGACCTGCTTTGTGGGAGTGGCTTGCCGGCCATGTGACTGGGTGGGAGTGGCTTTGCAGTCATGTCGCCGGATGGGAGTGGCTTGGCAGTCATATGACCAAGTGGGAGTGGCCACCAGTGTCACTGAATTATTCGCCCCAATGGATGATCTACAAAAAGATATTAAAAAGGAAATTTATTATTTTATTTACTTACTACTTAAATAAGATTAAAATAAGTACACAAAACAATAAAAGAGCTACTTACAGAAGGAAGATGACTGTCCTTGCCAGTCTTCAATATCACTGACTCCAATGAATGGCCTGCACAAAGNATGCCGAAGGCAAATGGAACGCTGTTAACTTCCCACCAAAAGTGGTTCCTATTTTTCTACTTGCATTTTTACATGCTTTCGAACTGCTAGGTTGGCAGATGCTGGAACAAATAACGGGAGTACAGTAATAGTATAATATAATATGGCATAGCATAGCATAGCATAGTATAACTTGAACATTGGGCGCCAAACTTGAACATTCGGCACTATCTAACAAAATGAAATTCAATGATGAAAAAAGTCCTGTTTAAGCAATGGGTTGGACTAGAATATCTCCAAAGTCCCTTCCAACTCTGTTATTCTATTATTCTATTCTATTCTATTAATGTGAACATGTGGGATTAAGAGGATTAATAACTTTGTTTTAGGATTAAATTGTAAACTGTACTTATATTCAAATAACAAATTGGGAAAAAGCATGTTCTTCCCTACTTTAGCTCATTTAATAAATATTAATTCCTTACACCAGCCTTTAATATTATCCACTTTCTACATTATCCACTGTCCTTTTTAAGTTTCTCCATCTATGTTATCTGTAGTAAACATTCTACTAAGCTACAGTGGTTCATCTACATATGCTCTGCTTTTCTAGAAAGGAATAACAGTTGTTCTTTTTCTCTTGTCAAAAACAGCTTCCTTAGTCAGTGATATATTAATTTTCAAATTCATATTGTTCTTTGCAAACTTTAACAGAAATCATTCATGTTCTCATCATCAATATCACATAATCTCCATGCAAAATTACATACATGCTGATAATATTAGATAGTTTGGGTAAATGAAATGTTTGAAAGAAAACAACAGGCTCCAAGAGTATCAAGGGCCCCTTGTTTAAACCCTGAGCTGCAAATATTTCCCTCTGTCGGTACATATATCTTCACTTCTAATTGCATTTCTTATAATGTAATTCATAAATGCACTAAAGAAAGAAATATTACATATCCTTGTCATGCTGTATATATAAAATTGAACCCTTCACTTAAAAAACATAAAATAAATTTACCCATATTCATAAATACTTAAATAATTTGCTGAAGAGCAGAATTGTCTTCCATACTCTGCCTAGAAGAAAACTATACTTCAAAGTCAGAATTCTGCTAAACTACTAACATTCCAAAACATTGATTAAAAATTCTGTCAAAATTCTTCAGCCTTTTCTATGCCTTAATCATTGCTTAGTCTTTTTGAATACATTGTTCAAAACTATTTTTTTTCCTATGCACTAGACATTTTATCATTACACCAAATCCTTTTTCATTTCTATTTCCATATCTCCATCTATTTTTGTGTTGTTTAGTAATTTAATTCTCTTGGGCATCTATTTCATGCAGCTTCCTGAACCTCTTGCATCTGTCTTCCATTCAGATGGCTCACCATCTAATAATCATCTATAGCTGTGATGTTCTTTTTTGGGGAAAAAAACAATAACTTTTTTTACTTTGATTTATTAATAACCAAAGAAGAATTATGACAATACAAGCCACAATTTCTTTTTAGGGGTAGACTTCTCAGACTAAATCTTGACTCTCTCATTAACAAAGGAGCTAAGTCAAAATGAGCGCACATACAAATTTACCGCTTAAATTAATAAATTACAGCTAAAATCTTTACAGAAGAACCAAGGAAGCCAACATACCACTGCCTACACTCCACTAAGTAGAAAGTACAGTATATGTGATATGGTAATACACATTAATATTCAAGCGTGTTGTGTATTGCTAGGTTATTCTTCTTTGTTCACTTATTATATATCTGTATGTGAGATATTGCCATGATCCAAACTAAATTAAATTGCAACAAACAAATATCTAGACCAGAGATGGGGAACAATGGGCCCTTTATGACTTGTGGACTTCAATTCCTAGAATGCTGGCTCAGGAATTCTGAGAGTTGGAAGTCTACAGGTCATAAAGGGCCCATTGTTCCCCATCTCTGGTCTAGACAATTGGACTACATGGTTTCTTACTCGTTGACTTCTTGAGGCTGTACTTCATCTTGAAATTTATTTTATTGCAGTTTGAGCAGCTGGCTTATTTGTGGATGGAAAGACAAAAATCGGGTGGAAATTATAGCCGACACAGAGCTCAGACAGAGAAACATGTTGTTTTGTGTGTCAGTTCTCTTAAGATTGACCTGCTTATGGATTTTCTAAATGAATTCTATGCTCATCCTAGACTCCAGGTAAGTCAAGCAGATCAGCATTTATCTCAATTCAGCCAGAAATATTCTCATTTGTTAACAATTTTATTTCACATACAAATGAAATCTTAGCAGTGTTATGGGTAACAGACCTATATATCTGTTAAATGTAAGTTATTCTAAAATTTTAAAAAGGCCTATAAAACATCCAGGACTTCCTTTTACTAGATTTATGTTGTTTCGTCAAATTCTGAGCCTTTTTAAATGATTAATGAGATCTATGTAGTAGCCACCAAAGCTGACGTTTTCTGCTGTTAAACATAGATTCCTTTTCAGCGTGCGTAATGCTTTAACATTTGTTGTCAAAGGAAGTGATTTCAACTCATCTCTGCATGAGACTAAGCATTACATGTTGATATGTAGCAAAGCAACTTTGGCATTGATAAAATAATTATTGAAATAAATAGGAACATTTTTCTTCTTTAGAAATGTGAAAAAATAAATTATCCTTCAACTATTCTTCTCTCAACTAAGTTTTTCCAAGATAAATTTTAAATGGAAAACACCCATGAAATATACCCATGTAATATTTCTTCTAGTTCTTTTTGATTCTTACAACATGCATTTTTATAGGACTACTATGTGGTTATATTGTGTCCCACTGAGATGGATGTTCAGGTTCGGAGAGTGCTTCAAATTCCCATGTGGTCCCAAAGGGTCATCTACTTGCAAGGTTCAGCACTGAAGGATCAAGATCTCCTGAGAGCAAAGTAGGTACCAAACAATGGGTAAACGTCTTAAAATAATATATTGGTTACTTATGATTGTACCATAAAACTAATTCACTAAAAGACTCTTTTAGTGATAACCCAGAGAACATTTGTTACAAATGTAAACTGCCCAGGGTCACAGAGGGTGATGAACAGTCCTTAAATTTAACAGATAAATGAAGAAATAATGCTAAACAGATATTTAATTAAAGACATTACTTTGTGTGCTTTTTATCCGTTGTGTTCTTCCTTCCAACTGTTTTGGAAATTTACTTCTGAACTGAATTGATCAGTGCTCATGTAAGTCTGTCTCCAAGGCTTCAAGCTGTATTTTTATTAAAAGTTTACACCTTCTTTGAAACTCCTTGGGGCAGGCATTCATTAAAGTTTCACTATGTTGTTTTCCTTAATTGAAGCCCATTTTGTGCACCAAGGCTTTTTGTCATAACGAAGAAGAGTCTCGATATAAGCTAGTCATTCAGTATCTTTTTTTCAATATGGACTCTGACTTCCTGTCCATTCTCTGACCGGGCTAAATTTAAAATATTTGAGTCGCTATGGGACCATGATATGTCGTATGGGCGGATTTGGTTCATAGATTTCTCATTTTACTTTGTTTTATTTATATCTCCCTCCTTGATTACTTTCATTAAAAAATGGAGGCACAAAGGTATTTAATATTTTTTCCTGCTCCTATTTTATTTTATTTATTTGTTACATTTATGTGCTGCCCATCTCATCTATTTTCCCCACGACAGCAACCCTTTGAGGTGATTTATATGCTGCTAGAGAACATGGCTGGCCCAAAATCACCCAGCCAGCTTTTATGCCTAAGAGAGGGCTAGAACTCACAATCTCCTGCTTTTTAGCTTGGTACCTTAACCCCTAGACCAAACGGGCCCTTTTTCATGTTCATCTCTATTAACCAGGAAGTTATATTTTGATTTTAAGGAATTCTTAAAACCTATATGAAAGACTAAGATGCAGATGGATTAAGCATTTCCATCATTTCATTTCCTTTTAATCTCCAGTCATTTTTAGCTTTAACTACACCAGGGGTGTCAAACTCACAGCCTCACGTCCCTGAACTGCGCTATTTGATTTTAACAATAGCCTACCCACTGCTTTAATCTTTATTAATGATTTTAAAAAGAAATCATTGAATAACAAAGGTAGGAACCCATTTGAAACCAAACTAGCATTGCAATAACTTTTGTTTTTACCATGTTAAGTATTATTTTATAATTTGTATAACTTAATTCTTATGACTTCCAGGATTTCCAAGTTTAGGAGCTGCAAAATTTCCCGTGGTGCAATCTTCTATATTTTACTCTGCAGTAACTTTCAGTGAAATTTATTCCTAAATATATAGTTATGAGATTGTAGTGGTTTGAATATATGGGAGTAATACATAATCATTTTGCATAATTAGTTCTTATAAAATAGATGTTTTCCTATTAAGAATGAATATTTATTTATTTATAAAACCTGTTTGATTCCCAACACCTAATGATTCTTGATTAAGAATCTTGTTTTTAAAAATGTTATAGAAAATAATATAGAAATACAAATTTTCAAAGGAAATAATACAGGTAGTCCTGAATTTTCAACTATTCATTAGGGACCATTTTAAGTTACAATGACACTGAAAAATGTGAAAAAATTTTCACACTTATTACTGTTGCAACGTCCCCATGGTCACATGATCAAAATTTGAGTGCATGGCAACTAGCATGTATTTTTGACAATTACACTGTTCTGGGATCATGTGATCACCATTTGTCATCTTCTCAGCCGACTTCCAACAAGCAATGGCGGAAGCCAGATTCATTTATAACTACATGATTTACTTAGCAGCTTCAGTAATTCACTTAACAACTGTGACAAAAAAATATCATAAAATGGAACAAAACACATNCCATTACAATTTAGGACAGTTGTTCTAAACACCAGGAAAGTTGCTGTTGTGCCATGATTTCTCCAACTTGTGGTTAAATTTTAACCTTATATTCGGGAAATAAATGCTTGGAATGGTTTTTGTTTGTTCTTTTGGGATAAACATGAAGTGCATTTTTTTCACGGGGAAGTGCTAATGATTAAAAAACAGCAAACAATGACTCAATATTCTAAAGTTCAGACCGTACATAAGTGGGACTAATTTTAGGCATTAGGGTTATTCCTTTTTTTTTCCCATCCAGTGCACAGTTCACTGCAGCTTATAATTTTGCCCTTCATTAAGACACAAAGTTTCTTTTCAAAATGTAGATGTTCAAGCAAATTAAGGGGCTGCAAGGTGTTTTTCATGTCTTTTTAGTAAAATATTAGCCATTATTGCACAGGCAGATTCAGATGAAACTAAGGAAAGCAGGAAGAGATTGAACCTGCAGAATCTTTTAATGGATAGTAATAAGAAAAGACCACATTTTATTGATAAAGCTGTTCAAAGGGTTTGATACTCACAAACCACGGATTTGCTCTTTGCACCCCGGTTGCTATCCACATCCTCTCCTCTTTGCTGGGATTTTCTATTTATTCTTTTTTTTGTGTGGTTTTTGCAGCTCTTTTTATTATACTGATATATCTATGCTAGTATATGCCAGTGCACCCTTAGGCAACTCCCTTAACTTCCTCCCTCTGACTTGTTTAGTGATTGGTTGTAGCATCATAGTTGGCATTTGACGACTGGCCGATCTCTCTTCCCATAGCAGCCATGGCACTTAAAATGCATTTTGTTTTGTCCACTGGCAAAAACGAGGATATCTTGTAATAGGCATTATTGCTATTTTGTCCTGCTTTCCTTACTTATTTAAAAACTGCTTATACAATGTTGATTCTTGTAAAAACATTATTTTTAAAGGCAACTCTAAATAAATCCATATTACTAATTCCAGAATCTGGAAATATTGTGCTAATAAATTTTACAAATAAATAAATAAAAATAGGTAGTACTCAACTTACAACAGTTCATTTAGTGACCATTCAAAGTTATAAGATGACTGAAAAAAGTGACTTATGACCATTTTTCACACTATAACAGCATCGCCCAGGTCACATGATCCAAATTCAGGTGCTTGGCTATTGACCAATATTTATG